GTTTAAACTAATCTCTTCTTTTATTATTTATAATTTTATCTGTGGTTTAATTGTTTCTGTTCCTGATTGTAAAGTGTCCTTGAGTGTTTTGAAAGGCGCTTATAAATAAAACATATTATTATTATTATTATTATTGTTATTATTATTAATAATAATAATTTGAGAATGCAATTTCTGGATAAATTGCATGTAAAGGCTGGGAGGCTGAAGTAAAATTTTTGGAACGATATTGAATGATGTGCAAAAATATTGAATGACATAAAATGATCAAATGAACAAGAATATGCAGAACGTGGCGAATGTGTAATGGTTTGAATATGTCAAAAACTGTTGAAAAAAGTGGATCAAACAAAAGAGTGTGAATTACTGGCTTTTATTTTGGAATTCTGAAAAATGTATAGTGTTAAGAATAGGCTGAACAGTTAACATTTTGAATGGCCTGCATTGGTCAGAAAATGTGGAAATAAGAGGAGTAAAAACAAACAAAAAGAAGATAAGATAAGATAAGGTATCCTTTATTTGTCCCACACTGGGGAAATTTACAGTCTACAGCAGCAAGATTGTGGGTAGAAAGAAGAAAAAAGAAAAACAAAGTGTATGCATTCACAAATTCACAAAATAAATGTTACAGTTTCAATGTACACCGTTCAATTAAGTGCAATATAATATAGATGATAGATAGAAATAAGATGGTAATATTGGGCTTTTGACATGCATATTGAAAAAAATTGTGGGAGGAAGCAAGCAAATAAGGAAGGAAGAGAGCAATGAAACAAGGAAACTAATAAGCAAACGAAGCAAGGAAAAAGGAAGTAAGAAAAGAAACAACCATGGAAGCAAGGAAAAAGGAAGGAAGGAAGAAAAGAAACACGCAAGGTTGCATCCTGGGTCTCCTTAACACATTGGGGAGGCTAGCACACATTAAGCCGGATTGTTCCTAATAATTTGGCCAATATAGCCGCTCCATAGGGGATGCCTACGAATGAAAATCCCGGGTATACTGAATATTTTGGCCAATAAGGCCTGCCCATTGGGGATGCCGAGGGATGAGGAATTATTTTTTAGTCTGTGATATTTTTCCTGGGACACTGACTTTCAACTATGGCGATAACATCTTAAGCCCTGGGACACCAACATGGGAAAAAAAAAAAGAGTTTGTAAATCCAATATGACTGGGGTGGGGTGTTATTGCAAAAACTGTGTTGCCTGGCAACCCGCTGTTCACTAAACATGAACAAAAATTCATAAGTCTGCAAACACATCAGGCATAACAGTTTTATTTGGTTATTGTGTGATTTTTAAGAAAATGGCTCAACAACACCTGCTACAATTTTTTAGCAAAGCAGCCTTTGTTGTTTGTGTCACCAAGATCGATTAAATTTATCACCCAACATCGCCAAAAAAGTCTCCGGGAGTAAGATGCGAAAGCTAACAGGAAGTCTCCCATTTTGAATTTTCGTTCTCATTTGGAACCACTTTGGCCTTTTATTTTATTTTTGTAAATTTGAAAAATTCCTTGGGATTTTATCCAATTGTCTTTCATCCAAAGATGTTCAGTACGACCAGGAAAGAAACGCTCTTAATTTTGGTGGATGTTGTTGCCGTGGCGACCCACTGTTTCCCAAGAAAAATGACGCAAATTTTGATGGTTTTAACAATCGTGAAAACCTATGAAACTTGGCACACACATCACCCTTGGCCAAATATTCCTTATTTTATGAGTTCATTTTACGGTTTAAAAAAAACCCAAAAGGCTGAAGTCAGGGATGTCCAGACTCGGTCCGCAAGGCCTGCTGTCCTGCCTGTTTTCCAGCTCTCCCAGGAGTAACACACCTGATTCAAATAATCAGGAACATTCTAATGCTGCTTCAGAGATGGCTGACGAGCTGATCATCTGAATCAGGTGTGTTGCAGCCAGGAGAGTTGGAAAACAGGCAGGACAGTGGCCCTCCAGGCGCAGAGCTGGAAATGCCTGGTTTAAGTTCACTGTATGGGCTATCTAGAGAATCTTCAGCCTTGTCTTCATCGGGGTATATATCTTCAAACGCACACTTCCCGCAATCAGCCAACATAGTTTTCGATCTTTCCAAATGATTGATTGTGCCCTGCGGTAAAATGGTTAGTCAAGTAGAGTACAACTTTACTGTCAAATGTGCCGTATGTGCAACATACAGCACAGATGAAATTTCTTCCCTCTCAACCACACAACAGACAACAAGAGGAGCCGCTGCGGGTTCCCGAGCCGCCATCAAAAGAACAGTTAACATAAAATGACAAAATAATACAACACAACACATAAGACACAGACAGTCGTGCAATCTTAACCACCTTTCCTGCATACACTTTGTTGTTTGAAGCAGTTGTAGATGAAAGAGGAGCAAATCAAAGTGTCCTTTTTCCCCAGTGGATCAAAGAGGTCATGCTGAAAATGTGCACACGTCTGCTACAAGCTGAAGCTGCAGCATCCATGAACGAAAAAGAGATTGGCTCTCATCTCCTGTCCCATGTAAATCCGCTTCAATTCCAAGCCGCGAGTCCCAGTTCCACATACGCATCAACGCTCCTTTCTTCTCCTCAAGCCATGCATCCATCCAGCTGCAGACTGTCCAACAGCACCGACCTTTCCGCTGAACAAAGCGGGACTGTGAAAATGCTGCCCATTGCAGGCGCAAAACACAAGTGCCCCAGGGCTGTCCAGCAACGACAGTCAAATGGCGCTGACATTCCTCCCAATCAAAATCAGTGCTGGCACTCGCGTGCTGCCGAGAAGGCGCAACCACCAAGCACAGATTCTTCTTCCCTGACGAATGTCGTGGCCAAAAATGCTGAAAACAATCCACATCAGTTCCATATGATGTAACAATACCATGTGACAAAACAAAAGACAAAAACAACAACAAACAACAATAAAACGCAAGGCTCTTGAAGAGCGCTTGCCGACGGCTGCCTACTCGGGCGCCATCTTGGAAAAAAAAAAACGCGTTGATGTCGCAGTGTAAAGATCATGGTTTCGATCCCGGCTCCAGCCTTCCTTGTGGAGTTTGCATGTCCTCCCCGTGACTGCTCGGGTTTTCTCTGGGTACTCTGGTTTCCTCCCACATTCCATCAACATGCGTGGCAGGCTGATTGAACACTCTAAATTGTCCCGAGGTGTGAGTGTGAGCACGGAGGGTTGTTTGTCTCTGTGTGCCCTGCGAGTGGCTGGCAACGGTTTCAGGGTGTCCCCCGCCGACTGCCCGAAGAGAGCATGAATAGGCTCCGGCATGCCTAGCGACCCTTATGAGGATAAAGTGGATCAGGAAATGGGTGGGGTTTTTATTGTGCCCTTATTCTAAAAATCCATATCAGGATGCACAAAGACAATCTAATGGAAATCAATCGACAATAAACAGAATGTATGCGGGGAAAAGTAGGTAGTCAAAACAATGATAGAATCACCTCGTCTGTTAAATAAAACACTTCCTGGTACTTCGGTAAATGCCCATCGAGACACGCCTCAACAATTACCTGATCAGTGGTGTGAATCACAGCACAGGCCTACCATACCATCAGCATCACACAGGGGGCATGATCATGCCAATACCTGTAATAGGCAATGATAATAATAGTAATCTAAACATCCATATCATTACATGATGGTCAAAACAGAAATCTTTAACATAAGGCAATATGGCTCACGCATGCGCCCTGGAAAATAACGACAAAACAGCCCTAGTTGAACATTTCAACAAGATGGGCCAAAAGTTCAAGGCACCTGTAACAGCCCAAGACTCTCAGGAGCCCTAATCAAAACTCAAAAATAGGCCATTTTTAATTTCCTTTCAAATTTTGCCCCATTTTGGGAATTTTTTTAGATGTCACATTTTCTCAAAATAGCTTTTAATTTCATGTAATTCATTTTCAATTTTTTTTTGTTCCAACATGCCAGTACAAAAATGCCAAGACAGTGCTCCTCCTGATTGCTTCTCCTAGCTCTAGTTCGCTCCCCTGTTTGTTGTTCCTAGTTTTGTTTTTTTTTTTTTTGGGGGGGGGGGGGTGGGGGGGGGTTGTTTGTTTGTTTTTGTTTTTGTTTTCAACAATGCAGCACATGTTTGCAATTTGATGCCAAACCCAGGAAGCAAAACTGTGTCTGAGACCACGAAGGATAAAAGGTCTGAGGTGAGGTCATATTCAAGCAACCAAGTCATTAAGAAGAAAAATCCTCTTTATTATTTGAACTGAATGCAGAGGGCAAGGATGGTAATTGTGCATTAAACACACGACCGCACGATGATCATTACAATAAGGACTGATTGAATCAAGTTTTCTTGAGGGATAAAAACAGCTCACTCTCAATGCTCTGGGATGACATGCCCAGGGAGCCAGGTGGCGGAGTAGATGTTGGTCCAATTGGTGGTAGAGGGGGGTTGTGTTCATAACCAGTAAAGGGCTCTCTGGGTGAACAAGGTGGTGGTCCAGTTGGGTAATTTATATCTGCAGTCACTCATGTTGGAAAGGTAGTTCCTAGCGGGGACCTAGTTGATGGTCCTGGTTTGAAAGGTCAGGTTGATTGTTTTCATCTGGAGTAACACTTGGTCCAGGTGGGTGGTTTTTAATCCACAATAACAGGTGGCTGCACTGGTGGCTGGTATCTGCCGGACTGGCTAATGATGATACGAAATAAAATGTCCGAGTGATAGTATAGCTTGGCAAGGTGCTGCTCTAGTTTGGTCGTTTTAATTCATTGCACTGGTTGTGAAGATTATGGATATTGGTCATTTGGTTCACGAGAAGGTGACAGTGGGCCAGGTGGCTCAGGGTGTGGTGGCAAGTATTGGTCAGGCTGGTATGGTGGAAAGTATTGGTAAGGCTGGTATGGTGTCAAGTATCGGGAATAATAGTATGGTGGCAAGTATCGGTAATGCTGGTATGGTGTCAAGTATCGGGAATAATAGTAAGGTGGCAAGTATCGGTAATGCTGGTATGGTGTCAAGTATGGGTAAGGCTGATATGGGAATGGCTTAGGTTGCCAAGGCACTGGTGGCCAACGTCGACCATAATAAGTCGACCAAGGTGGATAATTTGGAAAATGTAGTGGTGACTCAGGAGTTCCTGGTGGTCCAGATGGTTCTGGCATACTAAGAGGTCCAGGTGGCCCAGGTGGTCCAGGTAGCTCAGGGTGTGGTGGCAAGTATTGGTCAGGCTGGTATGGTGGAAAGTATCGGTAAGGCTGGTTTGGTGGAAAGTATCGGAAAGGCTGGTATGGTGGAAAGTATCGGTAAGGCTGGTATGGTGGAAAGTATCCGTAAGGCTGATATGGGAATGGCTTCGGTTGCCAAGGTACTGGTGGCCAACGTCGACCATAATAAGGTGGTCCTGACCAAGGTGGATAATATGGAAAATGTAGTGGTGACCCAGGAGGTCCTGGTGGTCCAGGTGGTCCTGGCATACTAGGTGGTCCTGGTGGTCCAGCTGGCCCGGGTGGGCCTACTGGACCATGTGGTCCAGTCGGCCCCTCTGGTCCATGTGGTCCTGGTGGACCATTTGATCCATTTTCTCCAGGTGGTCCTGGTGGACCATCGTGTCCAGGTGGTCCACTTACACCCTTTGGCCCTGGTTTACCATCATGTCCAGGTGGCCCTGGTGGACCATCTGACCCTGGTGGACCATTTGGTCCAGGTGATCCTGGTGGACCTTGTGGTCCTAATGGTCCTGTTTGACCAGGTGGCCCTGGTGATCCATCTGGGCCTGGTGGACCAGGTGGTCCTCCTGGTGGTCCAGGTGGTCCTGGTGGATGACTTCGCACTTGTCGCACCTTAGCAGAAAAACTGCTGGTTCCTGTAATTGGCAAAGTTGGCATCTTTGTTACATGGTGACTTTTCACTCACTCTTGCTTAGTAGTTGAGAGTGTGATGACTTACCTAACACCAAAAGGGCAACAGTGAACACCTTGAGAATGATCATTGTGGCTGGTGATGTCCTAAAAGACAGTGAATAGGGACGGTCAACGTACATCGAGAGAAAGTCCATCAGGTGAACATGGGAGGAGAGCTGACAGTGTCAATTTACTGGGGCCCAGGTTCCATGCCTTCCCACGAGGCACCTTGACTGCGACTTGGAAGAAGAGTCATGACTCTCTGCCCACCTTAACGTTGTTGCCGTCGGATGGAATTCTCACATTTATATTGGCAGATCTTTTTGTCAAATTTGTAATACTTGTGTGGGACCATCCCCCATTTTTTATGGAAAATGCTTATTGGCAGTACATCAGCGATTTTTGAAGAATGTTTTGAGTTCAGCAGTTGACAAAGAAGACTGATCCTACCTTTCTCACTGTTTCCATTCTTTGGTAATCAGCATGAGAACAAAGCAAAATCTTAAAATATTCATCTACTTCCACAGAATCTGGAGAAAAATAACTTTGTTGCTTATACTTTCACTTTCTAATATCTGAACAGTGGTTCCATTCTATGAAGCACGTAAATAACTTTTTGAAACGGCTTTCGAGACCAAAATAATTTCGATGTAATGATAAACAAGTGCTGTGAGTGACACCAAAAAGAAACTGGAAAAAAATATTAAATGCCACAAACATGTTTTCTTGTTTTTTAGAATCCCCCAAATTTCTTGAGCACTCTTAGCTGTTAAGAGTGTCCAATAATAGTTCTTGACACGTTAAAATATAATTAGTCACTTAAGAAATAATTATTCAATGAGCAAAGATCTAGAAACAGTGAACAAACTCATCAAGAAAATGTGTGTGTGTGCATGTGTGCGTGCGTGTGTGTGTATTTGTATGTGTGAGATTAATATGAAGGCAGCAACATGTTTTGTCAGAAAAAAAACATTCATACCCAAGTAATATCGCTTGGAACAACCCTTTGATTTGCGACTTTTTAAATTTTGTGGACAAATTGCTGTAATTGTTTTATTTCTACACTTTGTTTTAAATGTCTTCAGTTCTTTTATGTTTAAATGTTGTACAGTACTTGTAATTCTATGCTGTATAAATGAAATTGCATTACCCATCAATCCAAATCTAATGAAAGCATTTTTATAATGCAGCATTACAGCAATTTAAAATCCTTGATACAAATTTCAAAATATGCTTTGTTCCAATGTACAAATCTCGTTTACATAAAGGAAACATTTTCAGGTTAAACTGAGCGGATTCTTTATGTTATGTAATTAATCCAACTTGATTATTTAAAATTACGACAACCAACACAACATGTTTGTTTTTCCTTTATAAATAACAATTCTTAAAGGTAAAATTTTCAGGTTGCACCAATTTCCAAGATTTTTAAAAATTTGTTGATTGCACACATACAATCTTGAATCACACTGACTAAGTAATGTCACAAACATTCATGAAATATATTAGCCCAGGCATGGGCAACTGATGGCCCACGTACCGCAGGTGGAACATTCTTTGAGTGGCCCTTTGATTAATTTAAAAAAATATATGTTTGTATAGATGTGTTTTTTGGGGGGGATTTGGGGTGACTATAAACATGTTTCTTCGACTACAGTGGATCCTCAAGTACTTGCAGTTGGCCATTGGCAAATTCAGTTGTTCCCACATTTTTTTAACATGTATTTTTTTCAAAAATTAACAAAGACCATTGCCTCAATCCATTTCAGTGACCGTCAGTTATTCCCAGATTTTCGCTTTTCACAAAGCGTATGCCCCACGAGTAGCGGCGTATCACGGTTTAGTTTTTAGGCGTAATAATTTTCCTTTCATCTCTCGAGAGCAGACATGCCTTAGCAACATTTGCACCAAGTCTTATTCTGCCCTACATTACAGCCTGAGAAGCCCTAATAATTTTTTTGCGGATTTGGACTGACACGCAGGACATATGACCTTAATATTATTTACATTTTGATTGAGTTAACATTTGTGAAAAGAAAAGCTACCAAAAAAAAAAAAAAAAATCTTACAACTTATGTGGGTTTGCTGTTTAGCCATTTTGTGCCATCCTGGAATGATGATTTTTATGCTCAGGAGCCCTTTGCACTGCATTAAAAAAAAAAAGTACCTACCGGTAGTTAATTTTGTTTGTTCAAACCCTTTGTTATTGAAGGATGGATCTTTTATACCTGAACTGAAAAATCTATTGTGAAAAATGAAATCTGTTCGGAGCACGTATTTTGCATGTACGCATGTGTTTTGTCCATATTTTAAATGGCATTTTTGTTATAAATCTGTTTCACATGCAGGGGAGAGAAGACTATACCTCCACTGCCTGCCCGAACTCCACCTCCCTGCTGTACAACTTCATTGGACAAGCTTGCCAAAGGGCATGAAGCAATGCCCACTTGAACTTGAGTCCAAATTTTTCAGGTGATTGTACAAAGTGCAACACCAAATGTGTCTAATATTAAAATCATGTTCCCTGAGAACACTTCAAGATGGAGAAAGTACTCACCACAAACACTCAAGATTGGCCTTGGAGCTGTTGTCAGTCCAGCTCCCGTCGCTCTTCTGCCGTTTCACAGTCGGTAATGGAGGGCTTAAATACCTTGTCCGTCCCATTCAGGTGGGGCACTTGTCTAGGTGGGTCATTTAATTGATTTTTCTTTTGTTTTCACACAATTACAGGTGATTATTGCCAAGCAGTATTTCTGCTTCATGTTGCCAAGCTGCATGTTAATTAAGCCACTTTGAAGTGAATAGATCACACAAAAGTTCATCACCGCAGGAATCGTATGAGCTTTGTTCTTGGAGTCCTAATATGTTCTCAAACAGGTGATATCTGTTGAATTTCTTTTTTTTGTTTTTTATTGTCCGTCTAGCAAAAAGGAGCTGGGTGGTGTTTGTGATGAAGGCTATTGGGGCTTTGCAAAGAGGACAAACTGTTTTTTCTTTCCCAAGTCAGAAAGTAGCAACCACTTTACTGTGGAACATTTCATTAATTCATTAATTCATTCATTTTCCGAGCCGCTTTATGCTTACAAGGGTCGCAGGGGGTGCTGGATCCCATCACAGCCGTCTTTGGGCAGTAGGCGGGGGACACCCTGAACTGGTTGCCAGCCAATCGCAGGGCACACACAGACGAACAACCATCCACACTCGCACTCACACCTTGGGACAATTTAGAATGTTCAATCAGCCTGCCATGCACGTTTTTGGAATGTGGGAGGAAACCGGAGTACCCGGAGAAAACCTACGCAGGCCCAGGGAGAACATGTAAGGAGTTTACATGTTTGAGCATGTAAATGAGTTTACACTACACAGGGAGGCCGGAGCTGGAATTGAACCCGGTAACTCTGCACTGTGAGGTCGACGCGCTAACCACTGGTTCACCGGGCCGCCCACTGTGGAACATTCGTTGAAATAATTTGCTGAGGGCAAAATGATCTAATTTCTAAAAATCAAGTTTTCAATTGGAAAGAAAACACAGCTTTTCACTCATCAGACATTTCATAATGTTCGAGCATTATTCCAAAATTGATCCATTGTTTTTCCGTGAAAATTCTACACACCCCAAGGTGAAAATCCAAATCAGAATCATCTTTATTTGCCATTCTTAACTAGACAACGAATTTACCACCAGTAGGTAGAGCCACTCTAACACTACAGCAAACAAAATGAATATTTAGGACATAAACACATACTTATGCAGGCATTGAGAATTGCAAGAGGTGCCAACTGTGCAATTGTGATCTTGAGTCCGAAAACAATTTAAAATGACCAGTAGCATGGTAGTAAAGAACAAAAACAGTTCTGCAAATAATGCCACATGACAAAGTTACAATAATGAATACGGCAACACAGAAGTGCAAAATTGGCAGAAATAGACAGAAGGTCACTCAGGAATTAAAAAATCAACTTTTTTGGAAGTTCATGGCTAGAGGGAATAAGCCGAAAACAATTTAAAATGACCAGTAGCATGGTAGTAAAGAACAAAAACAGTTCTGCAAATAATGCCACATGACAAAGTTACAATAATGAATACGGCAACACAGAAGTGCAAAATTGGCAGAAATAGACAGAATGTCACTCAGGAATTAAAAATCAACTTTTTCGGAAGTTCATGGCTAGAGGTAATAAGTTGCTGGAATGTCTGCTGGTTTTAGTGTGCACAGCTGGATTGCGCCTCCCTGTGGGAAGGAGCTGGAAGAGGTGGTGAACAGCTTGCCGAGGGTCCAACAGAAGTCCAGATTCTCTTGTGTTATTTGTTTCACCAGGTAAAGCAATTGAGAACAGAGAACAAATGCATTGTGAAAGTTCACGGTCAACTAAGACCTGTCTTAGTTCTTGCAGCATGGAAGCCCTCTAGAGCAGCGGTCCCCAACCTTTTCTGCCCCACGGACCGGTTTAATGTCAGACAGTATTTTCATGGACCGGGCTTTTTAAGGCCGGATAAATACAACAAAATAATATGATATGAACTACATGGTATTTTCGTAACATAATAATAAACACGAATCATGACACGAGGAATGTCCGATTTGGCCGAAACACTCTCTGGTCCCGATGGTAACATTTAAACGTGCCTTCATTCAAAATAAGATACACTGCAAATAAAAAGTGCATGAAAATACGACTCACCATCACTGCATATTATGAGAGTGGGCTTGCCGCGTGGGAATCTCCCGTTGAGATAAATCCTATCTTAAGTAGGACTCCTGATCATGTCTTATTAAATGTAGCCTTCTTTTTTTTGGAAGTCGTAGGCTCCTCTTCTGTCTCCAGGCTGGGCCTTTTCCACTTTCCCAAAGGAACTTTCCAAAGACGTTAGTTTATTTCCTCATTTTGCTAGCTCTTGGATTTCATTTTTGCGGTAGCCTATCACGTGACTGAGAAGCACGGCCTTCACCTGCGTCATGAGTGACATACTGTAGACGGATATAACAGAGAATCTGGTAATTTTTCAAAATAAAAAATCTTTCAGATTCCGAAATGAATGAAACGGAAAGTCGTGTAAATTATATCGTCTTTCTGTGCGGCCCGGACCAAATGACCCGCGGACCGGTAGCGGTCTGCGGCCCGGGGATTGTCAGACCGGTGCAGGTGCCGATGATTTTCTCGGTAGTCCTAACTACAGCTGAACGATTTTTCATCTTCTTATCAAAACCATATTTTCAGACATTGTGCTCATTCGCTCGTCAAAGCTGTTTTTTTTCCCAGCACTTTTATTCCCCCAAGTTCACCAATCAACAACAAACAAACTTGCCAGGCACATTTGTGCGCACCACATATGATCTGCACTTGCTCTGTGGCACAGTTACATACTCAGCTGTTTTGGTGTGGATAAGCCCCCTAAGTCATCTTTGATGTTTTACAGCAAATAAGCTATAATTCTAACATGTATCATTGTCACTAAAAGCGCATTATGAGTCGTGAAACAGAAAATTCTGGGTAAGAGGCAACAGGATGGAGAAGCCATGCTAATTGCTGAGCTTATATGAAATGCAGAGTTGCAAAAGAACCCCCCCCCCACCCAAAAAAAAAACCCCAACAACAACAACAGTCACATTAATGCTGGGAAAAGTTTCTAAATGATTTATGCTGGTCTCATTCATTCTCTGAACCGCTTATCCTCACAAAGGGTTATGGCATGCTGGAGCCTATCGCAGCTGTCTTAAGGTATCTTCATATCATTATTTTAAATCGGAAAAACCCGGCATTTGAACAAGGGTGTGTAGACATTTTATAGTGACTGTAAATCCAATATGGATGTTGTGTTTCCTGAGAGCACATCAAGATGGGCAAAACAATCACCACGTCCAATCAAGTGTGCTTGTGGAGAACTATTTGCTTCTTCCGACAGTTTTGATTCTGCTCTGATGTTTTTTATGTGGCCTCACAGCTGCAAATAAAAGATGCAACATGTCTTGTACGCCCATCGGAAAGGTCACGCCGTCATTAGGTGAGGTATTTAATTGGCTTTGCTTTTGTTGTCACAATGCTGGTTCCTATTACGCGGGTCGTGCTGAGTGACATTTGTTCCTCACACTTGCATGCTTTAATTAATCATTTAGCGGGGTTTACATTTCTTCTTCATACTTACAAAGCTGTAATTGACAGATGTTACAGTCAAGGCCCAGGTGTCAGATCTGGCCCGCCGCATAATTGTACATGGCTCATAAAATCAAATTATGTGACTCCACTTCATGGTTCCTGCTAAAATATGAAAACAGCAAATTGTAATATTAATAAAAATACATTTTATTTATAAGCGCCTTTCAAAACACTCAAGGACACCTTTACAGTCAAAACAAGATTAAAAACCACTGATAAAAGTATAAATAATAAAAGAAGAGATGAATTTAAACTGAGTATGCAATTATAAATAGGTGGGTTTTGAGATGGGATTTAAATGTGGGAAGAGAATCAATATTTCGGATTTTGGGTGGGAGTGAGTTCCAGAGTTTGGGGGCAGAGCGGCTGAAAGCTGAAAGGCACACAGAGGTGGAGGGGGGATGAGGACCTGAGGGAACGAGAGGTTACGGAAATTTGAAGAAGGTCAGACATTTTGAGATATTGCTTTAAGAATGTCATTCTTCTCTTTCAGCTGGGCTAAGCAGTGACAAGCAGGACCCGTATCCCCCCGTAAGGCATATGGCCAGCTGTTGTGCCTTATTCAACTCAGACGAGCCGCCAGCACATGCAAAAATTTAAAATTGGCATGGAAAGCCAGCCCAGCCTCATCTGAATATTTTGGCATCTCTACATGCAGATGGCTACATCGGGGGGTGCCATCATTGCATTGCAGTTATGTACCCCCTTCGCATTCATTGAGCCAAAACCAGCATTGAACGCCAGCTTCCTTGCGGTCTTCCTCGGGTGGGCAACATCCTTCAAAACACATTCTTGTCATGGTCCCATCCATTACTCAAAGCATTGTCCACCACTTCCTCTTTGACCCGTGGGCGACCACGTCACTTTTTTTTTTTACATTGACCGACACACAAGTGGCGAGTTAGCCACAAACTCAAAGTCAGCCGTTACCACGCCAAGACAGTGTTGTTACACTGATAAGCAGCGTAGCTGACAATAAGTCAACTCTTCCTTCATCCCCTCCCTCCAACATTCTCACTCCTGTTGCCTTCATGATCTCTCCAGACCATATGAAACTTGTCATTTATATGCAAGGGTTGCTACAATATTTTCAATGCCCACAGATTTTTTGTGTTTTGCTTGTATTGTAGCCACTTCTTTTTCAACAAAACAAACTGCATTAAAAGTCAAGACTGTGGTCATCATGCCCAAAGTCTCAATCGAAATACATGAAGTGGAGGTGCGGACACTCTCCAAGTCCAAGCTCAATCCAGTGTTACGGCACACAGTCAGTATGATGAGAAATGTTACGATTGGGCGACACTACACGGCTTACTTACACGAGGGAAGAGTTGCTGAGCATTAGGGAGTCTACACTGACTTTTTTCACCAGCACACGAAAATCCACAAGGTTTTTCGGAGCTAATAGCGAGCGGAGCGGCTGCGCTGTAGGGAGCATGGAAACGCCGTCGGAGAAGGCGGACGCAAGCCGGCGTGCTAGTCAAGCTATGTCAGCATGGATTTCGAACCCCGCTCCCATCCATCC